GACTGAATTTGGCAAATAGCTTTAAATCCTCCACTATTAGTAAAAAAATCTTCCAAAATTTCAACACTTTCAGAAGTATCTAAAAATTTAAAACACTATTTTTAAAATAATTCTCTAAATTGATTATTCTGAAAGATTAAAAACACTTGAAGTTTTACAACCTTCTTTCAGGATTAATGAAATATTTGGCATGATCCAAACATATTTCCAGTTTCCTGAGTCTGTTAGTGTATTTTAGATTTTGTTGTTGAAAATACAAGTGCTTTCATTTCAAGTTGACCTACACTACATCACTATTATTATTATCTTTATTGTCTTCATTATATTCTTTATTTATGTTATTATCAGTTTTATTGTCTGTTGCTATACTATTTATACTGTATATAATATTATATATTCATATTAAAGTTAAATATTTTATTCTATATACTATGTTATTGTTGCTATTATATTATATCATATCATATAATATTATATTATATTACATTATAATAATATATCAGCAGTAAAATTCTCATTTGGTAGTGATGCAAAAGACCAAATTAGATGCACTTCTGCAAAATTAGAATATTGCCTTCATTTTGAATATCCCTTCCAAATATGGAACAGTTTGGGGGCTGAGCTTGTGCCTGTGTCTGACACCTGCTGCCAAAGGGGTCTGGTTGGCAAGTGTTTGTGTAATTTAAGGTTAAGGGATGTGTGCACTGAGCTCAGGGAGCTTGGCTCAGCAGAACAAGGTCAAGCCCAAGCAAAAGAAATTAAGATTTTGCTGCCTTATGCTGATCAAAGGGTTTCTGCTAGCAGCAAGCTGCTGGCCAGGGCAGATCCCTGTCTGGGGCATGGGAAATTATGCAGCATCTGAACTTTTAGATGGATAACATCACAAGGATCTGCCTCTTGGCTTTTGCCTTTGCGATGTATTTGATGGCCAGACCTTATAACAAGGTTAGTTATTCAAAAACCCCACCAGTTTTGTCCCCCAGGAGGAATGAACATGAACCTAAAAGAAGGACCACAAACCTGCCTCTACCTAATCAAGTGCTCCTTTCAGGGAAAAAGAACAATATAATGTAACTACAGATATCAAAATATTGTAAAAAGACAATCCCTGAAGCCCAAATGCTCACAGAGGAGAGATGCCATTCAAAAAATCTCATACAAAGTGCTGATGAAAATGCAAGAGCGAGAAAAGCACTCTCTGATTAACTTTTGTTTTGTTGGGTTTGGTTTTTTTTAATATGTTTTACCCATCACTGCTGTGAAACACACACTTGCAAAATTAGGCAGTGGAAGCAAAGAATGCCAACTCAGCACTATCATATGCAGCAGACTGGTACTTAACCACCCCAAAAAAGAATAAATTACTGTAGTTATGATCAGAAATAGATACATAGAGGAAACCAAAACAAACAAGGACTACTAGGGGACAAAGCAATGGTAAAACAAGCATTCTTGAGTGCCCCAGCATCAGTCATTCTCTGCAGAGCCATCAGGGTGAGAGAGGGGAAATTGATACTCACAGAACTTCACCAGGAGGTATTTGGTTTCCTTCAATGCTCTGTCAAAGTTGCTCTTTTTCAGCAAGAGGACATGGTTCTCCTTCTTTATTTTGGGGAGCTTGGTTTTCTTTAGCTTTGCTTCATTTGGGCTTATGCTGTCTGCTGCAAGGAAGCCTGTGAGAAACAGCAATAGAAGAAGGGAAAATGGATGTGTCTTCATCTTGTCCTGCCTTTATCCAGATGCTGAGAAAGAAAGAAGCAAAGGAGCATTCAGCAGTAGGGTTTGCTGCTCAAATGTCTGCAGCTGTATCAGCCAAACCAAGAGGCTGATAAGGTTGATAAGTTTACCGCCAGAGGAGCCAACTGCACCTTTCCATGGGAAGATTAAATTAATTAAGTACTTCCTCATCTTTAGTAGTGGTTGGGGGGTGGAGATGTTGGGATGAAGTATGGGGAAGTTGGGTTTTCTGTGTCTGAAAATAAACAACGCAGGGAGAAGGTGAGAGAGCACAGGAGGGAACACCTACCTGCAGAAGCACCAGTGGGTTCCAAGTGTAATTAAACACCCTTCTCTCATCAGGGCTGCAGACAAAGCAGCAGGTCAGGTCCCTGGCACAGTATTTGAGGGCTGCTCCTCTGCCTCATGTTTGCTTGTCTCTTGCACTCATGGATCTACTAATTGTGGGACTGAGACTGTGCTGAAGTCAGGGGAAAACTCTCATTTCTTTGCACAGGTAACTTTAATGTCAGTGAGGTTCCCTTCTGTACTTGAGTGCCAAGTTGTACCTCAAGTAAGATACTACTCTATGGGTTAAACCAGAAGATTGTGCCATTGGTTTTCAGTGGTAACACAGTTTTCTGTGCAATAAATGAAAGGGGCTAAATGTACCGATTCATCCTTAGCATTGCTATCAGCTGTGCATGAGAACTATGAGGCCTCCCTAGACAGCCCTTTTAGAACATTTAAATAAATATTTGACAGAAATATTGAGATTTGGACTGAATTTATATGGGTTCAATTCACTATGGAATTATTATTTCTGTAAACACCTGAGAGTCCATAGTTGTAGTAGAAATATCTTTGACCCTTAAACTCTGATAAAACTTGTGAACTTTACCCCCAGATCTGTAGCTGGTAGAGGAGACTAAGCACAAAGGACAGAGCATTTCAGTGGCATGAAAGACAGAGCTGACTTGAAAACAGGTGGGTCTGGATTAGTAGAATCAAGAAGAAATTCCTTCAATAATGACTTTCTTCTTCTTGAGGAGTATCAAGTGATTCTTTGCACCTTGTGCCTTTAGCAGACATTTTATTTAGGAAGGCACCACTAAAAAGAAGGAATGTTCATAATGGGGTTGATGTGGTAGCCTCCATTTTCTGCAGATGAAGGATCTTGGGGGGCATATTGCTGCAATTTATTCTGGTTTTGAATTTATTCTTTTTATTCTGTGAGTGGGGCTGGGTTTCCAGCAAACTCTTTTCTGTGAGGCTCAAAAGCTTTGTGTAGTAATGCACCTTGAGATGTGTTCCATTAGTACTTGCAGAGTGTGCCTAATGAAATCAGGAGCTGTGTATTCAGGCTGCTTGCAAGATAAGATCACACATAAATACAGATTCAGCAATCAGGTACTAAAGGAGAAAAAGAAGCAGAAAGATAAGAGTCTCCCATTTGACTTTGTGGTCTCTTTCTCTTCATAACAGCTCCTTTTCAAAGATGTCTTTCAAGCAACATACTAGTAAGGTTAAAAAGCATCTCTCAGAACTGCAGGTTAAAACTAACAAGGCCGGTTTGAGCTGGGCAGGCAGTGTTTAAGCTCAGAACACAGCCTAAGGCTCCCAGAAAAAAAGGTAGGATGGCAAAACAATTTGCTGAGACAGCTGGTTTTCCCCTGTCTGCCACTAAACAAATAGCCATCAACTTAAATCCCTCCTGGAAACCTCCTACCAGGAAAATGGCTCCATCGTGGAGAGGGTTCCTAACCTCTGTGTCCTGAAAGGAAACTGCAGAAACAGGAGGATCATACCTCTGTCCGTCCTGCCACGACAGATTTGCAAGGAGGAAAGGAGTGAGACTTAGTGGAATTGAACTGTTGGAGAACAATGTTTTCTTTTAGACACAGAGCAGATAAGATCACATTCTGTGCATTTCTTAATCAGTGCTAGCTAGCTTTGGCTTTCTTTTTGTGCTTTGTAGTTTGAGACCTGTGGGAAATCTGCCCTCTGCAGAAGTCACAGTCCAGTCAGCAGGAAACCCTGGATTCAGGATCAATAATATTCTAGAGCCTTCTGCTTAGTTACCACTCACACCCTGTCAAATATGTGGCCAAGAGCCATTGAGATGTGCCTGACATGTGCACCTTCTGTCTCAGTTTCTCCGGTTTGCCTCACAAATGCAGTGATTTCAGAGTGATGCCAGTTACTATTATTTATTGGCATTGACCACTTGAAGCTCTCACTACACCTACTCCTGCAATAAATAATGCAAAGGTGAAAGTAAGAGCCTGGGATACCTGGGAGACAGGTATGCACTGCTGGCTGTTAAATAATGACAACATCACGGCACAAAAAAGTTTAAAAACAAAACTGATTTCATAAAATTGGGGAAAAATTCCCTTAGATATATGGGTACATCTTTAAGGACTTAATTACACTTAAAACAAGTTTATCTTTTTATTCAGCTCCTGTGAGTGAAAACCAGTTTTCTTGACTTTCAGGGTTGAGCTTTAAATACCTGTGGCATTATCAGTTCTGTCTCTTCCACATGTACCTGTATGTTGTGTAGGAAAGACTAGGAGAAACTGGAAATGTTGGCACTTTCTTTGCAAGTTTATTTTACAACATGTATCTTTTCCAAAACTGCACAATTCAGCTGAAGTGCAAAGCAGATGGAAGTCTTTGGCACTTCACCTTTGCTCACCTACTGTCTGTTTTGTGTTTATTCCATGCCCTCAAAGAAAATAGAACTCATAAGAAAATAAATCAGAGATTCATCAGTTTTATTGGTGCATAAATTCAGTGTGACTCGCCATCTAGTGCAGGTTTAGAGCATAACATAATTACAGAGAGTTTTAAGTCAAGGTGATTGTCTCCTAAAACACTTCAAAAGTAGTGGTATTTCATTTCTGTAGGCAGACAAAGTAACATAAAATTTACAGGAATCCAGACATAGATATTGATAAAAGGACTGGCAAGTGAAATTTTAGAGATGAGATATGAGAGTCATTCATCAGCTGACAAAGCAAAGGACAAATATTCTAATGAAAAGCAGTGCACAATCCCTTTACAAGACAAGGAGGAACATAAAATAATAGGGAAAACATGGATGTGCTCAAACAACCTATTTATTCAAGCTGATTTGCATTGGTTCATCCAGCATCAGAAACTAGACACCATGCAATAACTGTCTGGTTTTAAATGTCTTTTCTTTCATTCCAGGTGACTGATTCCTTAGATGTACACCTGATTCCTTCCCCTCATCATCTGATAAAACATCATTTATCATGAGGACATTTCTTAAATCCTGGATTCCTCAGTGTTTGTGGATTCTCAGGTCACCTTCCAGAACATTCCATGGAAACAACAGGCTTCTTACATTTCAGATTACTTCCCATTTTGAATCTGTAAATCAGGGTAAAAAGGAAGTGCCAGAATATTTCAACTTTGCAAGTGATGTCTTAGATGAGTGGGCACGACTGGAAAAGGTAGTATTTGTCTTTTATTTTATAGACATTGAATCGTAGTTTAACCCCAGCTGTCAGCTGAGAACCACAGAGCCCCTGGATCTCACACACACACATCCACACACATCCAGTGGGATGGGGAGGAGAAACAGGAGGAAAAAAAGGTAAAACCCATGGGTGGAGGAACAAACAGATTAAGAATTGAAATAAAATATAGTAATAAAAAGAATATTAATAATAATTATCACTATTGTAGAAGTATTAGTAGAAATAGTAGTGATGAAAAGGGAGATAACAAAAAAAGAGAGAGGAACAAAGAAAACTCAGAAAAAATGAATTATGCCCAACACAATTGCCCACTGCCCTCTGATGGACACCCAGCCTGTCCCCAAACAGCAATTGGCAACTCTCAACCAACTTCCCACCAGGGTATCAACTGAGCAGGACCTCCTGTGGCTGGAATATCCCTTTGCACAGTTCAGGTCAGCTGTCCTGTCTGTGTTCTCTCCCAGTTTTCATGCACCAACTTGTTGGCAGAGTATGAAAAACTGGAAATTCCTTGACTTAGTTGTTGCTAAGCAGTGCTTGCTCTATCCCAGTCCAAACCAGGACATGGTGGAGCAAATCTCAAATGATACCATTTTATTAATGGTACTGGATAGTACTGGCACTGTTTTATTTTGTTTGTCAGAAAGATGGGTATCACTCCAAGAGAGGAGTTGATAAGGGTGATTTATATTGAAGTGAGACCTTTCAAAGTTTGTCTTATTTTAGTATCTGCTCACATGTTGTAGGATGGCAGAAAACCAGCAAATCCAGCTTTCTGGTGGGTCAATGATAAGGGAGAGGAGGTGAAGTGGAGCTTTGAGGAGCTGGGCTCTCTGTCCAAGAAGGCAGCCAATGTCCTTTCTGAGGCCTGTGGTTTGCAGAGAGGAGACAGAATTGTGGCAATTCTGCCTCGTGTTCCTGAGTGGTGGCTCCTGAACGTGGCCTGCATGCGAGCGGGTGAGTGACTCACGGACTCGGTGGCTGCAGACAGAAAGCAAAGAGAGCCTACAAGCCATCTATTAGATGGGGGTGAAGAAAATGCACACAGGAATATTCTGTTGGAGCCTCTACAGCTGCTCTTTTGGCTAGAGGGAGAATTGGCAGCAGCGACACAGGAAGCACAGACATGGTCCAGTCAAAATCAGTGAATTCAGCCAGTGAGGGCTGAATGGCTGCAACCAAAGGCCACACTTGGCCACATACATTGGAAGGGAGCTGAATTTATAATGGAAGAACTTATATGATTGGAGTCATTAATAATTCAATAGATCTATTTTGCCCTGCTTTTAAACTGATAAACATCCATGATTGATATAATCAGCATCAACAGAGAGACGTAATCAAGTCATTTTGGGAAATGCTGACTTTTCTCAATTCCTTCTTGCTTTTTTCCAGGAATTGTCCTTATTCCAGGAACATCCCAACTAACTGCCAAAGACATCTTATACCGACTCAAGGCTTCAAAGGCCAAGTGCATTGTTACCAATGATGCCCTGGCACCTGCAGTGGAATCTGTCCTGTCTGACACCCAGTTCCTGAAAACCAAACTCATTGTAGGCCAGGGGAGCAGGGATGGGTGGCTGAACTTCAAAGAACTCCTTGCGTGAGTATCCAGCTCTTTTCTTTCCAGTTCTTTGAGGTTTTGGGAGCTGTATCATTCAGGTGACATTGCTGAGTTGTGGGGGTAATTTTCAAAATACAAATAAGTTACATTTTTGCACCCCTCTGTCAACTCCCTGATTTGTCACTATACTGGTGAAGGTTCGTCCAATCCAGGTTTTGGGAGCTTAGTTCATGTCCTTTAGCTTCACTTAGCACCCTGCCAGTTTTTAGAAGCTCTCTGCTTCTACTGTGACCACCAGACAAGCACACAGAGCTCTAAACAGTTGTTATGATTTGGCTGCTGGAGCCCATTCTAATGGCTCTTGATTAAATGGGAAAATACCCATTGCCAGCTCTTGGTGCTCAGTTCTTTCTTTCCTATACTATCCTGGTAGGTCAAAGGATCTGAATTGTCCATCAGTCTCCTGAACATTAATGATCTACGACTTGTAATAAGATCAATGTACTTGGCATAATAACCTTAGTCATTGATTTCTAGTGGGGGCTGGTTTTTCCTCATTGGTTTCTGGTTGCTGTTCCATAATCAGCAGCTGGAGTGCCCTTGCTAAAACAGTTGCAGACAAAGTCACTGAAATATTCTGCAAGTGCTTATATCTCAAAAGTTCTGGCATACAGGGCATACTCATTACAAGCAAAATGTGTTCTCTAACTGTTCTTACTCACTTATTTTGTGAGATCGTTCACTTTGGGCACTTTTCCTGTTGAACTCCTAAACTATAAAAATGCTGTTGCCCTGGTGGAAAACTGCACATAGTGACTGGAATATATAATTTCTTCTGAAGGGTTGCATCTGCTGACCATCAGTGTGTCAAGACAAGAAGTCAAGACCCAATGCTGATCTATTTTACCAGTGGAACTACAGGCTTCCCAAAAATGGTGCTGCAGTCCCACAGCAGTTACGGCATTGGATTTGCAGTCAGTGGCAGGTATTACCTTGCAGTTTCCCCCAGGGTCCTGATTAAGTGCTGTGATCAGCATTGAACTGAACATGAGGCCATAACATTCCAGTAAATGCAGGCATTTTATGACTGTAGGATCTTGCATCTTCCTCATCTTGAAAATTAAAGGATACTTTTCCCAAATTATTCTGAGTTGGAAGCTGGTGATCAAGGGGCCAGAAAAGTAACTTGTTTAGTTTCCTGGAGAAATGAGTTGTGACTTAGCTGATGTCTCAACTGCACCAGGTGGGGAAAGCCTATTCCAGATGGTCTGTTTGGGTTCTGCTCTAGATCCAGATTCTGCAACTCAGGACAGAGATGTTTTGCACTGCTCACAAGAAAAATAAATGCTCGAAACATTAAGCAGGAGGGAAGGAAGGGAAATCAGAGAATATTTAAGACTCTTCAACTCTCTCAAACTTTCTACAGAACCCCACTTGCTGACACCACATCTTCTAATGGAAGCCTCCTGCTGTGACCTGGGCCTGACCCTCTCACATTCCCTGCAGCATTTCTTTCCTCTCTGCTTTTTCATCAGGCATTGGTTGAAATTGACTCCTTCAGATATAATGTGGAATACCTCTGACACTGGCTGGGTAAAAGCAGCTTGGAGCAGTGTTTTTGCACCGTGGATCTGCGGATCTTGTGTCTTCATACACAGTATGCCACAGTTTAAACCAGAAGTTATTGCAGAGGTGAGCATAACAGTTTATAGTGTGATATTTATTTCCATTTTACAAAAGTGAAGGAAACAAACTGGAATCCAGTCCATGGGTGCCATTGCTTAGAAGCAGCAGGGATAGGACTTCCCATATCCCAAGGAATCATCCCTCCATTTGGTACCCATAGGCTCAAGGAACAAGTGTTTTCCCTCCTGGTTAGGCCCTGTGTCATGGTTTGAGTGTAGAGAACAACTGGACAAAGATGCAGGATATAAAGATCTTGGGATTACTGCTGTGTTGCCCAATATTGAATCCAAACCTTACTTCAGGTATGGACTTCCAGCTGCCTTGTGGACAGGCTGAATATGGGCCAGTATTCAGAATATGGCATAAACCTGAATTAAGGTTCTGTTTTCCTAAATTTTCATTGAGTTGCCAGAGTGCCTACTCCTCCCTTAAGGCACTTTAAACCAATCAGCTGATTGATGCCCCTCAAAATTGGCCTCTTTTGTTAATCACCTGCACATTCACAAGGTCAGGCCCAGCATTTCACTTTCTTTTCAGCACAATAATTTCCTATTTCTCTAGACTCTCTCAAAATATCCCATCACCACCTTCTGCACGGCTCCCACTGCCTTCCTCATGCTGGTCAAACATGATGTGAGCAGGTACAGCAGGGAGGGGAGGGAGGCTGGGGTACAATGCTGGGACACCTCTGCAGGCTTAGTTCCTTAGGTTCCTTAATTCTCTTTTACAGTTCAAGGAAACCTAATTAGCAAAGCTTGCTCTCAGTAAAGAACACTCTCTGTTTTCAAATGTGAGAAGAATTAGCCACACCATAGGCTACCTGGGCTTCAGGACTGGCTCTTTGAATAGACAGCACAGAGGAAACAAAGGAGATTTTTTTTTTTAAGCTGCCACTTCCTCTGAATTTAGGCTTCACAGTTCAATTGAAGTCAATGTTTTGGGCAGCATTGGATCAGGGAGTTACTGGTGCACCATGGAGTTGTTCTCACATGCTTGAGAATGAAGGGAGCAGTTAGAGGAGTTCCACCTGCTGAGAGTTACTTGGCAGCTGTTCTTCCTGACTTGTTACTCTGTAAAATACCCAGCTTGTGAGAAGTGGTTTGCAAGGGGTTTTCACATCTTTGGTAATGTACTCATTCTGTCACATTGGTCTTTCATCCTACCAAAAGCCAGTCCAGGTTTTAGCAGAGTTCAGCCTCTGTGTATCTATTCATCCTTCCTTTTGCTCTAGAAAATTCTGTGTGTTATACCAGATCTTAGATGTTGGCACATAACTGAGCTTTCCACACACATTTGATGTGCTTGTTCAGATTCCTCCTTTTATGTCACCTCTCCCACGGAAACACTTTTGCTCATGCATTTTCCAGCAGAAAAACCTACTTCTATTGCCACAGAGATAAACCACATCATCTGCAGTGGCAACTCAAGCAGTCTAGCATTCTAGTCAAGGTGTGCATAACGGGGTGACGATTGTCATTTCCAAAGGAGCTTGTGAAGATTTAGGTGTACTTCCTTGGAAAGCTGAGGAAGGCTGTTCGGTTAAATCTATTTACTGCTCTTTGCAAGAGTTAAGAGAATTATTTCATTTGCTGTTCCTCTCAAGCTACAAGTTCCCGAGTCTGAAGCACTGTGTAACTGGAGGGGAAGCACTCAATCCAGAAGTGTTGGCGAAGTGGAAAATCCAGACAGGGGTGGATATCCATGAAGGTTATGGCCAGACCGAAACAGTACGTTTGCAATAAATTTAATTACTGGTAGTAAAACCCTCCACCATCTTTACTTCAAAAGCAAAACTAAATACATTATTTGCTCTGGATATCAATTTGTCCGGTGTGAGGTTTTAATGAAAAATATTAAAGCAGCTCACATCCCAGACTCTGATGTTCTTGAGAACCACAGCACTTTGGTCCTGATTCAGCCCTTGCCACAACAAAGTCACAAAAAGGAGTCCTTTCTAATGCAAATAATAAAATTTACAGGATATTGCAACAATTTTTAAAAAAGCTTTAAAAAATCTGTTCTGCAGGTGACAATCTGTGCCAATATGAAAGGAATGAAAATTAAACCTGGCTCTTTGGGAAAACCTGTTCCACCTTATGATGTGCAGGTATGTGGATAGAACAGTAAGGCAGTGCTGTGTCCCTTCTGTGGCCTGCACTGAGCTGCAGCAGATGTTCCTGTGAGCTGATCAAAGCAGCCCTGCTGTGTGTGTCCTTTCTGCAGATCGTAGATGAGCAAGGGGCTGTGGTGCCTCAAGGAGAAGAGGGCACCATTGCTGTCCGGGTGAAGCCCAAACGGCCCTTCTGTCTGTTCTCCGAGTACTTGGTGAGCCTGACTTGCTGTGCCTGTGTCTGCGCCTGACTTGCTGTGCCTGTGTCTGCTCAGGCACCCAGGGGACACCCAGGGCAAAGGTCTGCCAGGAGCAGAACTCCATGCAGAATTCTCAGAAAGTCTCACTGGGTTACGTGAGGACTTTGAGTCTGATCAGTACATAGTTTCAGGAACAGACTGACTAACAGAGTGTAACTTCAAAATGCAGCATGAACCAGAGGATACCTTGTTCCAGATATGTGTCATGCACTTCATGTTCAGAGCATCACTCTATTCCCTCTATTCCATTCCTATCTTTGTTTGAACATTATTGAAGAATAGCCCATAAATTCTATTCTTACACATCAGAAGCTCATGGAGGCTTTCCAAGGCAAAGGTATTTTATTCCCTCATTCCACTGTCAGAGGTACCCCCATTCCATCAGGCACTGCAGTCAGAGAAACCTTTGTACAGATGCCTGTCACACACAACATGTGCACAAGATCAACAGCGCAAACACAAGCTACAGGACAAACCCCTCACATGTAGAGGATCATATGGCTTTGAGGTAGTGACACCTCAGTGAAAATATAAAGCAGTACTGAACACACTCATTTTGAGTACAATTTTTTGTTCATTTTTAGCATCACTGCTAAGGAAATGCATTACAATTCACTAACAATAAGATAACTTTTTGGAAATGTTTGATTGTTGGCAGGATAATCCAGAGAAAACTGCTGCCTCTGTGCGAGGAGATTTTTATCTCACTGGAGACAGAGGCTTTATGGATGAAGAGGGATATATCTGGTTTGTTGGAAGAGCTGATGATATCATTAACTCTGCTGGGTAAGGCGTCTCCTGTTAGATCTGCCGGATGAAATGCAGCCTGGCAAGGCCAAGGACTGGTCCCTGCTGCTCGGCTGAGCTGTCTCTGTGCTCCCCAGGTACCGCATTGGCCCCGTTGAGGTGGAGAGTGCATTGATAGAGCACCCAGCAGTGGTGGAGGCGGCTGTGGTCAGCAGTCCCGACCCAGTGCGAGGGGAGGTAAAGCAAAATAGGGAAGAAATGTAGAATAAATACCCTTTCTACTAAGTATCAACTTCCTTATAAGTACCAGGCTTCTTTGGAATTCAGTGTTGCAAACTTTTGAAATGAGGTGGGCATAAACATTTTTTAATCCATACCTTGAGCGATCTTACAATATCAGAATTATTTCTTTGCAGGGTTTTATGTGGGGAAAAAATTTGGTTTTTCAGACTAATCATGTGATCTTTTTGTCTAAGCAATGAAATTTTTTTATTTCTCATTTACCACAGAGCATATGGTGGCAATGATATCCACAGTGTTGAATTTTTGCTTTGTATTTTTCCAACTTTGAAACATTTCTTTGAGCAACTGGGAAAAGATTTTAATCTCTCTTTATTTTCTGTACTAGAACTTTTTTAAAGTTTGATAATGTATAAAGTTAGAAAAAAAGTAGAAAATAGAAAAACATTCTCTGCTCCAGAATGGGTCCTTCGTAACACAGCAGTTGATAACAAACAGCTAGTGAAAAGGGAAATTAAAGAAAAGGATTTGGCATTCTGAATTTTGACATTCACTTTTCACAACAAATGTATTCATTTATTGCCACCTCTGTAAGTTAATGGAACCCCTTCATTTTTGTGGCACAGGTGGTCAAAGCTTTTGTTGTTTTAGCTCCTGCTTTTGTATCACATGATCCAGAAAAATTAATTCACGAGCTTCAACAACATGTCAAGAAGGCGACTGCGCCATACAAGTATCCAAGGAAGGCAAGTACACCCCAAAATGACATTGTACCTGAAGCTGTGCATTTTTTTTCCTGCTTCAGCTCTTCTTCAACACCTTTCTGACAAACGCTCCAACCAGAGTTAGATAAAATGAAAGTAGATGACAGGGTCTGCTGCAGCTGCAGCCTTGGGTTGGCTGTGTGAGCTTGAATGCACCCAGGGGGAGCAGTGGTGCTGAAATTCTACTTCATGAGGGCCCAGTCTTTCTTTCATGGAATGCTGGAGTGTTCACAGCAGCTCAAATGGGCAAGGCATTACATTCTGACCAGTTCTACCATGAGCCCTCCTCTGACAGACAGCTAAATCAAAGCAAAAGTTCCTGCTGGCATCAGTGGGTTGGAATCCATCTCTTCTCACTAGGAAAGCCACCAGGAGCTCCCTGTCCTGAAAGCTGCAGCACTCAGCTCCTAGAGATGGTGGTACATCTCCCTGCAAGTACTGTCTGTGCAGTAGCTACAAGGTGTAGTAAGGAAATTCACCATTCCAGCCCTGGTAGTGCAGCTTCCCATCTGTTCATCCCCAGCTATCCCATGCTAAAAGTGTTTTCACAATCTTTTGTTGCACCTGGGAAATTACCCACAAGATCTTTGGCTACAGGGAGCATTTTTGCCTTTCAGGTGGAGTTTGTTCAGGAGTTGCCAAAGACAGCTACTGGGAAAATCCAGAGAAAGGTTCTAAAGAACAAAGAGTGGGCAAAGGTGTAAAAAGAGCAAGAGTGATCTGGAAAATGTGGAGAGAAATTCTCCATCATGTGTACCAGCCATAACACAAGACACAGAGCGGGTTGTCATGACCCAGAGAAGAACAAGAACATCAGGGGAAAAAAACTGTGGAAGAAAAAGGAGAAAACATTCTTGAGGATATGTGGTATTGGAACCACTTTTGCCATCAACCTACAAATTTTCAGAAGGAAGGAAGTGCAAGTGATTCAAACTGTGGAATGGGAGAAAGACTCAGGTGCATACAGAGGTCTAATTTTTTTAACTACAGGTTGTATAAACATCTTCCTTAAAAAAAAAAAAATTGGTGAACCTACATGGCTTTGAAAATTACAAATAAATGAGAAATTAATAAGAAGATATGTTTGTCCTGAGGTGGGTATCAGCAAATCATTAACATCCAAAACCTACCACTGTAACATTCTCAAATTCTTTCAGTGTGGAAGGGAAAATGCATCTCTTTTTAATGCTTCTCTTCATCATGATGAATTTGTGATGTACTTAAATGGTTAAAGTTGAGGCAAAAGAAGACCCAAAATGCTTTAGGTTAAGGTGCAAATGGCGCACAATTAACAATGGTGTAAATGATTACACTAAAAAAGTTACCCCACAGGAAGAATTCTGCTGCTTGGTCTGTTTTGTGCCACATTCTGTTCTCATTACTCCAGAAGAAGTAAAGTCAGAGGGGTTTCACTCCAAAACCTTTATGAAGGAGTTTCCAGGTTTCACATCTCCAGGAAACAGCTGATCCTTACAGTGCCTCTTATGGGAAACATGTCCTAACAGGTGAGTGAAATGAAAGAAGAGGATCTCCCCCTGCAGCTCCTGATCTCTCCTGTCCACAGCAGAAAGGTGAGCAAAATGTTATTTATATGCACTCTTCATGCTGATGATCACTGAGCAAAGCAAATGGTATTAAATCAGGAGTAATCATTTTTGAGTCTCACTCCTCATTCTGAGAACTTTGCCATTACTGGTTCTTTTCCTCAGTTTCCTGTATTCATTTTCACCTCTACATTTGCGGGTGAGAAAGTGATAAAAACTTGAAGGTTCTCACAATATTCTTGGAGGATGTTTTTGTACAGCACTAGGGAATCCCAAACTCCAAATGTGTTTCATCTTGTCAGTCTTGAATATCATTTCCCTAAATATTCCTAAATATTATGTCCCTCCTCTTTCTCTATAGGCTAATGTGTAGATTTTGCCATTCTAATGCTCTGGAATGCGCAAGTTACAGCTAAATCAGAGAATTAGAGCAGACTGAGAAAGGAGAAACATCTGCCTAAGTGATTAAGGATTGTTTACAAGTGGTCAGTGTTTCTCTGCACAATGTCCAAGGATTGTGGAGAACACCAAGAATTTCTGCTGCTTTTGACAAAATATCTCTCTGGGGGGGAAATCTGCATCCAGACTATTCATGTTGGCAGACACCACTGAAAAAATTAAGTTGTGTTAAGTTCTGGGTATTTGAACTCATTTGCCTGATGGGCAGATTAAATAAGGTTAAATTAACCTGTATAAGGTTCTGCTAAGGAAAAAGGCAATAGTTCCAATGTTAAATAAGTAACTTTTCTTGAGGAATAAAATGTCACCAATGCTGAAATCTGTGCATCAAAGATGTGAGAATAAACAGCTACAACTGAAGACATGGGACAAGGGGCAAAAGACATAGGCAGGCCCATGATCTGTTTTTTTGGTTCCTGTGGGATTCCTAGAGATGAAATTTCCTTGTAGGAAATGTTTAATAACATCCTTTGCTCTTTCACCTTTGTGAGCAGAGGCAAAGATTGCTCCTGAGAATCTTCTATGGAAACATGTATACATTTAAAGCAACCAAAAGACACATAATGGGTCACATTCCTTTGCCAAATCTGTAAATTGTGAAGCCCTCTAGGATTTACTCCTGCCCCAACTGACAGCAGAGAATATTTCTGGCAGTCAGGGCATGTAGTGACATTGTGTGTTAGTTTGTTTATTACCTTCTGTTAGGAATCTTGGCAAAGAAGAATGAGAATGTACATACATGACAAAATAGGGATGCTGTTCCTGAGAAAGGATAAAGATTAAAGTTTTAAGCAAGGAGTATAACTGGTCATTAGTAACTGTCTCCAGGAATGAATTTTCAGCTCCCTCAACAATACCTGTAAAATAAGCAGAATCAGCTACCAAATTAAAAAGTCATGTAACAAAACAAACAACAGGACTAAATCTTTATTAATGATCTTTATCAAATGTTTAACCTAATTAATGGTTTGTAACAGTCTCAGAGAGAAGTTTAAGTCCCAAATATTTCTAGGGTGATGTTTGCTGTATCTTTTCCTCTGCAATGGTCAGTCCAGCTTGTTGGGTGGCTGTGATGGTGACTTTCAAAGTTGAATGTAAAGATGGATCATTTTCAGCTGAAATAAGTATATTATCCATATAACGATAAACAATTGCTTCTGGATGATTCTGGTGAAGGGGTGCCAAAACTTTACCTTTATGCATGGTTTACTAGGCTTTTGCTTTATATCTACAAAGTCTGGAGCAGGTGTGTTACCATTAGGGATTTGCATGAGGGCTTTCCTTGCTGCATTTTTAATATCATCAGGCACTGGCTTTGGGAGGTTGGCAGGCTACTCTCGGGGCTGGGTATGAGCTCCCTCCCCAGCTGAGTGTTCTAGTGTTAGCATTGCCTGTGCCTGGTCCTCAGCACTGTAAAGCAACAACTGATTTAACATGCAACAATTGATGTAACAATCTCTTCCACCCCCTTTCCCACAGGGTGAATTCAGCCGGAGACAGCAGCACAGTCTTCACGTGCTGTATGTCATGAGGGGTTAAAAGAGATGCAGTGAAAATAGCTTGCATTCGACTGCTGAAGAAAGGAGAAGCCTGTCCATAGCTTTCGGCAGCCTTACAGTCTTTGTATTTCCCTGTAGGCTCGAGGTTCCCATGTAGGACCAGCTCTTCCCCTCCTGTTCTTTACCATACTAGTCTGGCTCTTCTGCCACGGATCAGTGGAATCGCTGGCTCTAGAAGGGATTAGGTTTTCCTCTGAGGAGGGCGGAGGATGCAAGCACAGTGGTGTTCCTGCTGGAAGGGTAAAGGCAGAGCTGGTGCTCTGGCGCAGGCACAGCCATGGGGACATTGGCACGGCCAAGTTGGAGAGCAGCGCTGCCCAGAGCACGGTGGGCGTGGCTCTGGCTGCCCAGGAGGGGCGTGGCCCGGGGCATGCTGGGAGCTGTAGTCAGGAGCGGTGGGGTGCAGTTGAAGGGGGACCGTTGAGGCAGCAGGGTGCCTCTGGTGGCATAGGCGTTAGCAGAGTGGTTAGCAGGTAATACAACACGATATTCAGATGGACAGGAGAGAGGTTGGGGTGGTGAGGAGCAGGAAAGGCAGGGGAGATCCGAGAGGGATCCCAAGCAGAGCACGCAGAAGGGAATGCAGGGTAGCTGAGTAACTTGTGTCGAGTTCCATTCTAGGGCAGTCTGCGGGAGCACAGGGGAAGGAACACGAAAGGGCAGGGGTTGCGATTTGCACTGCTTCTGAGTCTGGGACAGGTTGCACCCTTGCGTTCCATCTCCAGGGTGAGGGAGTTAAAAGCAGTCTCGGTTTGGGAAGGGATCCTGCACAGTGAAGTGGCCCCGGACCCCCCGGATTCCTGCCGCACCAGCAAGGCCAGGGAGGGGCCGAGCGCCGGCAGTTGCTGCTCTTTGGCTTTGAGCGTTCTGAGAATCACACAGAAAGCAGGCACACCACGAGACGGTCCCCCTTGGTAGCTAGGTCATAAAGCGTGACACCCACAAAATTCCAAAATCCCACAGAGAAGATTCCACAGTCCGTGCCGTGTTGAGCAGCACTGCACGAGGCCGAGCCGGGGCTGCAGCTGGTGAGGCACAAGCGGCCGGGCTGGGCTGGGCTGGGCCCTGTGGGCGGGTGAGAGCAGGGCCCTGGCCGCGGCAGAGCCTGGCACAGCGCTACTGGCTACAGTTGCCAGGAAGTTCCGAAACACCCAAATTAGGGGGTTTTAACTCGTGATTTTTGGCCTTTCTTCTGTGGACCGCTAAGAAAAATTTAGAGTTATTTGTCCCTGTCTGGTCTTGACAGTCTTATTCCCATAATAATCGGGATTAGGTGGGGTATGCCCAGCGGGTTGGGGTAGGAGCAGCAGGAATAAGTGTCTCTTTTCTCTACTTACCTGCTTTTTCTGGCAGGCATCCAAAAGATCTGACTCCGAGGGTTGCTTGTAACCATGTCAGGCCTGCTGATTTAATCCACAGCAGAGAAAATAAAAGGTCCTTATGACTGGTAAAACCCAGTGAAATCAAACAGAAGATCCCGCAATATGAGGTCCCTGTTTGGGCGCCAGTCATTGTAGTTTTCACTCGCTGCAACCCGTAGTTCAACTTGGCTGGGGAAACTGACAAAAAAAGGGATGGGAATGATGGTCTTGCCCAAAAAAAAAAACCCAAAAAAACTTTATTAGTAAAATAATAAACATGGAAACTGCAGAGTCTGGGGGCATGATCCAAAGATGGGGGGGAGGGGGTGTGGCAAATATTACAAGGTATAGGGATCTTCTAAGGGCGAGGATCCTGTCAGGAATGTGAACTCAGAACATGACCTTATTTGTAAAAGGTACTGAACCAAGTGAGAACAAGAACCAGAAACCTGATCAAATGTAGGATAGATCTATTAACATATTGGTTCCCATGACCCCACTCTTCTTGCCATGAGAAGTTTTTATCAGTGTCCTGTTTCCCATGGCCTCAGGCTGATGCCCCCTGCCTATGCTGCTGAGGTTAAGCCACCATTTATTCCAGCTGGATGAGATTCCACAGTTGTTGTTTTTGTTGCAGGATTCATAGCAGCAACTCTGCTAATTTTATTAAACTCAAGGTGACTATGCTTATTCCTTCTATGTAGCATAATGTTAAATATTCACGTCACAAAAATACAGGTAACATGATATAAAACGAGGATGTGTGTAAGCAACCTATTTA